GGGGGGTGTAATTCACTCAATTTCAGACCATTTCTCGAATCGTGTTTGTCACCCTTGTGTGCAGGGGGGCATGCTGATCTACTCTATACTGTAACTATCGCTCCAATCTTAGCGGATATCCCAAAGGACTTGAGGACCTGCAGCCTGTGGGGGTAGGTAGGTACTCCTTTTTTGCTGTGGTTCAGCATGCCAGTGGGATTCTGAGTGCAGGCATAAAGCTTAGTAGTTTTCTTTCTATTTCTTTTTAACTTTTTTAAGTTTTTTTTTTTTTTTTTTTAAAACAGGACCTTATGGGCCTGGCTCCATATCCATTCTGGGGAGCGTCGCTCCGGTTCCTATTCCACCGGCAAGGCAGAAAATATTATATCAGATATACTCACTCACACATGCTCAGTTGGTTAAGAAGGTAACAGACTGACGGCCAGGCGACCGAGCTCAGCTGGTTGAGCATGTAAGTTGTACACAGGAGGTCGTGTGTTCGATTCCCCACGACCCCTTCCTGTGTGGCATACTTCGGGTTGGGTTCACCGACTGAGAAAGTCGGCTTGTCCCTCCTGCTGGCTGGTTGTGGAAGTTGGAGTCGTTCTTTCCAGCCCGCGCCAGGTGTTAGGAGCTTGGTTGCTGCTCCCCGCACAGAGCAGTGTTAACTAGGCTTAGACCCATAACCTTAGGATAACTTAGGCCTGTTTTGTACATTTAAGGTTGGCCTTCTGTCCGATGCTTCTCCTGAATATATGTGATCCATTATCTGCCTTGTAGGGCTTGTGGGTAGGCCATAGACATATTAGACAAGGGTAGCTAGTGCGAGGCGAGAGAAAAAAAAAAAAAAAAAAAAAAAAAAAAAAAAAAAAAAAAAAAAAAAAAAAAAAAAAAAAGGTAACAGACTGACAGAGGCCAAGGACTCAAGGCACTTGCAAAAGTCAGAGGAATCAAAAGGCCGCATATTCTCACTTTTTTTTTCAAGTTTTTCAACTGTTTTTGTGAATTGAACTGCGAGGAACTAGCATTGGTGTGGATGGTTGAGTCGGATGCACCAGGGCTCATAAACTGTATCTGTGCTCGAGATGTCTCATCTGCATCTTGAGCATACAAGTGAAGACGAGAACAGACAAGCAACGTGAGAAGAAGAAAGACCATCAGGAAGCAACAACCACAAGCTCCCATGCATCAAGATGGATGGAAATACACCACAAACATGTTCAACTACTGATTCCCCCCTCCTCCCTCTGTGTGTGTGTGTGTGTGTGTGTGTGTGTGTGTGTGTGTGTGTGCAGATGATCAAACTTATGATGCTGTCCGTCAGTGGAGGGGCTTATTTGGCATTCATGGGGAGCGAGTTTGGAAATCCTGAGGTAAGTTTTTGGAATGTTGTGCCTATTGGAACAAGCCAGTTTGAAATTTGAATCTCAACAAGAAACAACAAGATACGCTAGATACTTATCCCCATCATCCCCATGTGTAAAAAGGATCACCACATGCATGAAGAGGATTCTTCAATGGTCGCCAATGCTCGCCATTGTATTTTGATCACCGTATGTGTGCTGTGCACACTTTTTGAGCTAGGCCTCCTTAGGAGGCCAACCTTAAATGTACAAAACAGGCCTAAGTTATCCTAAGATGGCCTCCTTGAGCTAGGCCTCCTAAAAAAAACTTTTTTTAAAGTTTAAAAAACAGACCTCCTAAGATGGCCTCCTTGATTGATTTCTTACTACTACTTACTACTTACTACTTCTTAGTAACTCTTCGGGATTCAAACTTAGGAGGTCTGTTTTTTTAACTTTTTTTAACTTTTTTAAAGTTTGTTTCAACAGTCATGGCTGTACCAAATGAGCTAGGCCCGTCTGTATGTTGTTGTTGTTGTTATTGTTGTTGATGTTTATCTTTTTACTGTTGCTGAACTTGCCGTTCTTTTCCGAGTTGTACGTTTTTCGGACTTTTTCGGACTTTTTCAGTTTCATGTTGGTGGCTGGTTGTTGGTTGATGTTAAACAGCGAGTGGAGTTTCCCTCGGCTGCAAATGGGAATTCATTCAAGCGAGCCGTCGTGCAATGGGAGCTTCTCAACGACCGAAATCTTCCATTCCATCTCTTAGCTCAGTTTGATAAGGTGAGCATTTTTTTTTTTATTATTATTTTTTTTTT